CCCAAAACCCCAAAACCCCAAAACCCCAAAACCCCAAAACCCCAAAACCCCAAGAGATAAAATGGACAATTATGGATGTAATATTTAAAACATTTAATTTCATAAAATGTCAATTTCAAACAACAGTATTAGTAACCATAATTAGTCATTTCATTCTGATCATTCGCAATCCTCATTGAATCATTCGTTTCAATAATATTAGAAATAAGCCCAAACATAATTTCCTTTGAACTTCTCATAAAATTTAGCTTTTAATAACTCAAATCAAGACTTCGTAATATCAATTGAAGCAAGCGAAGAAAGACTGACTTTAATAGTTGAAGATCGATTTGACATTAACACATGGAGAGGAGACTTCACTAGCAAATATCTAGAAGAAATTACGAGGAAAACAGGGAAAGAAAGAACTTATCAAACATTCCTGCAGATGCTGATAGGGACAATATAGAATTAAAAAGGCTTCTCTTAATTTTATGTGGATCTATTAGGCTTTTAAGAGCTATAATTATTGAAGGCAAAAAGATCAGGAGATGACTATAACAACTAATCATAGATGCCACCTAATGTAAAAAATAACAAGAAATATTTAATTCTGACTCATTTAATGAACGGCTAGAAAGTTCATTACCCACTTCCTCTGAATCCTGTTGAGACAGGAACTTATCTTATGGATAAGGAGACAATGAAGAGGATGGTTAAGAGAATGAGTTAAACGCTAGGAGAATTCAGAAACATGAATTCGACAGGAGGAATGTCCTAATAAAATCAGAGTAATGGATTCAACTAGACTACGGGTACAATGAATAGTAATTTTGGAAGATAAACTGCAAAGGAATTTTTTTCAAAGGAAAATCTAATGCATCCAGCAGTTGAGGAAAACGCCTAACTCAAGAAAAAATTATAGCAACTTGAATAGGCTAAAGTATTAGGTGGAGCTGTTTCATTAAATAATTTGCATGTTGAAAAGAAGAAAATTGAACAAGATTTTTAAAGTTATCAAAACATCACTATAAAGGAAATTAAGAAACTGAAGAATTTGCAGCTAGAATTAAAAAGAAGGATTGACGAGACTCAAAATGAAATAAAATCTGAAAGACCATAATCTGCATACTCATAGCTATCAATGGGAGGAATGCAAATGCAAAATTAAACAATGACTTCAAATTTCAACCCAGGAAGTAGTATAGTAACTGAGGTTGAAGAGTTAAGAAGACAATTAGCGGAGTCAAGTGTTGAGCTTGAAGAAATAAGGGAGTAATACAAAAAGCGAATGGCATTACAATAAAAGGATATGGAGGATTACTATGATCAATTATAATCCTTCAGATAAGAAGAAAAATCTCTTCGAGTCAAAGTAAATCAGATAGAAGTAGAACTTGAACATAACTTAAAAAGACTAGATATTATTTGCAAGAGCAAGGGATTGCCACGACCATAAAGAAGAACTTTATCTAATGCAAGTGGAGCAAGTGGAGGAGGAAGATATGTCTCCCCTTATAGATAAGGACCAGGATCCAATAATGGAAGCAACCAGAAGCCTGGAGTAAGAAATTTGAGCAATAGCAATTCCGTAAAGAGACCTAGTCCATTAAGAAACAACAATTATAACTATACTCCACCAAACAGAAGGAATCAAATCTCACCTGGCAATTAATCAAATGGATCAAATAATAAATTCAAATCATCTCCAATGAACACTAACTACTCTAATAATTCAGCTGCTTTGAGAAATAAATAACAGAATTCACCAGGAGCACGATCTAATGCTTCAAACAAATCTAATGGGTCTAAAACTAACAATTCTTCAAATAGGCTCTACTCTCCTAGTGGAAGAATAAGAGGCAGTAATCCAGGATAGGGATTGTATGGCTCAGGAGCCAATAGTGGCCAAGCTGCTAACAGAGTTCGAAGAGAGCCTGCAGTTGGAGGAAATTTGAATAACTCGACTTCAAATAGCGTAAATTCTAGAAGCAACTCCAGAACCAAAATGACTAACCAGAATAATAGCAGTGGCGGCTATGCTTAAAATAGAAACGCGAGTGGGTTAAGAAATAATTCATAAAACAAAACTTCCTCAGTTTACACTAATTCCTAGCAAAGAAAGCAAAGTAATACAGGTGGAACTTCTATTGGGGGCTATGGGAGAGCTTAAATTTAAAATCAGCAAGAGAAAAAAGGAACAATATTTGGTGGGTCATCTAACCAGAATAAAAATTCAGTGCTTGACTAATAGAAAGCCTCCGGTACAATTGATGAGAAGATTGAGAAGCTTTAGAATATCCTCAAAGCAGCAAGAACTTCAAATAATAATATGTGATTGTTATAATAATTATCCTTCAATTATCTAATACATTTTAAAAATTAATTTAAGAATGGAACTTTTTACTTTTAAAGATCAAACAGACAGGAGATAAAAAGACGATTTCCTTTAAAATCAAAAGCCTTAGTTTCTAAATGTCAAGATGAACTTACAACCAATTCAAGGCCAGAAATAAGAATCTAAGCTATAGAAAGAGATAAAAGTGAAATTATCAGAGAGCACAGAAACTGTTGCTGATTTCATAAATGAAGACATAATAAAAAAGCATATGAATTCAAGAGGAAAAAACTATCCACAAGCTAGGCTATACCAAAAAAATGGAGTTGAGATAGGTGGAGAGGACATATAGTATCTAAAGACTGGGGATATAGTGTACCTAGCTCGCCATGGCGAGCCCTTTAACTATTAACAGATTATGGACAGATATGAGAAAATAAAGTAACTAGGATCAGGCGGATTTGGAAAGGTTTATCTTATGAAAGATAGAGAAAAACCAGATATGCTTTTTGCAGTAAAAATTATAAACATGAATGAGTACTTGCACAAGGCAGATGGCATTTTCGAGATTGATAGAGAGGCTAAAACTTTAAGGATGCTAAATTCAAAGTACATCATTCAACTTGATAATTACTTTATCCATGGGCAAAAAGAAGTAATTCTAGTCATGGAATATGCGCAAGGAGGTGAATTGAAATAGTATGTAAACAGAAAAGGTGGAAAGCTCAGTGAGGTAGAGGTTCAATTACTAATGAGATAGATAGTTACAGGTCTTTAGTCTTGCCATTAAAAAGGTATCATTCACAGAGATCTTAAGATGGAAAATATTTTATTCATGGACAAAGAATGCACGCATTTGAAAATAGTCGACTTCGGAATAGCTGGATTTTGCCTTCGTCATCTTCGTGAAAAAACTGATGCTGGAACTTTTAAATACATGGCACCAGAGGTGCTTAAAAATGATATCAATTTAGCGAATCCTTAAATGGATATCTGGGCTTTAGGAATTATGATGTTTCATATGCTGTTCGGATTTCATCCGTTCTTTAATAAAAAAGAACGCTAAACAAAAGACTATGACATTAAAGTACTAATTTAGAGAATAATAAATGATCCTCTTGAAATCCCAAAGCCAGTACTACAAAAAGAAAACTAGGAAGATTCTTAAATCTTCCCATCAATAGTAAGAGACGATGATCAGCTTCAGATACCATTTATAACTAACGAGTGTAGAGATTTATTAATATAATTACTGCATAAGAACCCTAAAGAAAGAATCTATCTTTCAGATGTAATTTAGCATCCATGGTTTGAATTAACTGAAAATCAAATTCTAGAAGACCATAGACTCTTAGAACAAAAATTGATTTAAGAGGAGTTTATAAAACAAGAGAAAATCAGATAAAAATTCCACTAGTAACTCCAAAAAAGGAATACTGTAAACCTTCCAACTATGAACTCTTTCGGTAATGCTAGAGGTAATTTAAGAGATTTTAGAATTATATTAGGTTAATCTTTGATGAATGGTAGAAAAATGAACACTCTTACACCTTTTGATACATTTTAAAAGATTAAGGTTAGAGATGACGATAGCAAAAATAAGAAGAAAGTGGTGCAGAAGAAGATAGCCTAGTTTGAGTTAGATGAATTAGCATCTGCAATTAAAAGATCGAATCCAATAAGTCCTGTGCAGCCTAAGAACAATGGAAATATGTTTAACTTTGAGAAGAAGCTGCTGTGAGACAAAAATATAGCAAAAGAAGGACTATCTACTTGAAATGAGTGTTTATTATCTTAATATTTATTGATTGTACTTAGAATAAAGGTATTCATTAACTTTTACTTGGTAGAAATAATAATAATGACTTCTCTATTTTCATACAGTTTCAATAGCCCCTGTTTATATATACATCTCATCAATAAGATATTGATATACTTCTTTGGCTTACTATCTTCTTAACTTCATAGTAGGAGTTAATACCACTCCTATCTCAAACTCCTTGTCTACTAGTCTGAAATTGTTTCTGATCTGTTCCAACCCATTAAATCCATTCTCAATAGCAATTCTTTAGAGATCATTTTTAATTAGCTCTCTTACCTCATTATACTAAACTAATTCAATGAGAGAGTCATTTTTGTTGCCTATCTAATTAACTTCTTACCATTATTTCAAAGTAGTTAATTCTGGCACTACTACTGAAACAATATGAGATTTATATGAGTCTCCATAAATAAATATCTATGCGACGTAGCTAGATTACTCATAAGCTCTCTCTAATTTTTCAGTCACAATGTATTCTCCTTGTGAAAGTTTGAAAATATTTCTCGCTCTATCAATTATTTTCAATGCATTACCAGGTAAAATCATACCGACATCACCAGTTTTGAGCCAACCATCTTAATCTAAAATTTCATTTGTTAACTCGGGATTTTTGAAATAACCAACAAATACAGAAGGTCCTCTGAGCAATACTTCACCTTGAGGATATGGTTAAGAATTTGATGTATATCCTAGTTCCTCAATATCTTATAGTTTGTACTCTATTCCTAAAGCTGGTCCACCAACATGCCCAGTCTAATTATCGAATATTTTCGTTGAAAAAGATGAGCCACAACTTTCAGTTTGACCATATGCTTCTATAATTGGACAACAAAATGCACATTTCAAAAAAGCCAATACATTATCTGCTATAGGAGCTGATGCAGTAATCATAATTCTTACTCTACCACCGAGTCTATCTTTAATTTTGTTGAATAACATCCTATCATACATTTCATGATTTACTGCACCTGACTATTGAAGATAGAATTATTTAGAAGAAAGACCTCTTTAAAATATCATTCTTTTTACAAATGACTATTAAGATAATCCTTGCTAAATTCTATCATAAACTTTATTAAGCAATCTCGGTACTGAAGGGAATATAGTTGGCTTCAATATTTATAGATCATCTATGATTTTAAGTAAATTGCCTCCGAAAAAGCCAACACAAGCTCCCACTGACAAAGAAGCGTAGCAACCAAGTCTATCAAAAACATGAGCTAGAGGAAGATAGCTAATGTATATATCATCCTTTGTAAAAGGGAAATCAGCAGCTACATTTAGGATATTTGTAATAGCACTTAGGAAATTTTCATTTGAGATCATGACACCTTTACTATTTTTCTCTGTCCCGCTAGTATAGCTTATAGTAAAAATATTGCCTCTATTATTCTGTAGACCTTAATGATCTATAATTTATGTCAAATTAAAGTTTGAACCATAGTCTTGTATCAGTTATCGATAACTTAAAACTTTAATACCCATTTCTTACGCTGTTTGGATAAGTTAAGGGGAAGGATCAATATCAAAGCATACTATTTATTTCAAGAATCTATTGTAAACAGGTTCCTGAGATGACCCATCAATTTCATGAGATGATTTCAATTAACTTTTACTTTCGATCACTAATAAAATTTTCAAGATATTTGTTAGTGACTAAGCAGATCCAAACAATGTTGTCAACTCAGTTTACTCTAAAATCAAGCTCAGCATTTGTTTGCCAAGTGTTTCGTATAAAGCTACAGTCGTAAAGCCTAAAAGATTCGCAGCAAGATCTGTAATTAGCCATTCTTCTCTGTTTACTGAACAAATTCCGATCACTCTTAAGTCTAAATCAAAATAGTCGTCATAAACATCAGAGAAGAGATTCTCGTTCGAAATTGCAGTAGCCAATATCTAAGTCTCCATATAAACTTAATTAAAAGACTTCCACTCATATATATATTCATTTGATGATTCATCGTTGATATTGCCTACTTTTTTCTTAGTACCAAAGCAATTATTATCTCCTTATAAGTTCTTCGCTTTCCTGCAATGTTATTTTTCAATTTTCTTACATAAAGAGTGAGTATATAGATTTAATAGATAAGTCTTAGGCTTGGCTCAAATCAGATGGAGCATTAGGGTTTCTATATATTGGATGGCCTGTTTAGGGATCATTCTCCTTAGTCACAGCATGTATATATTATACCGCTTAGTTGTTTCCCATTATTAATTTATTAAACTATTAGATTTGATAATTAATGATAAAGTTTAGTAATTATTGTGTCTTAACAGCATTGATTATAATTTTAACTTCATAACAATAAATTAATAATTAATCATACAAGCACCCAAATTCTTACATTTCTTTGATAAAATTCTTCAGCGATGAGCAATTGTCTTCTTCTGTTATTTAATTAATGTGATCATGTCGCTGTTTAGAAGCTTGAGTAGCAAAGCTTAATTTTTTCCCTTTTTGATGTGCTGCTCACTGAATTTTTTTACAATCTTAGGACTAAATTTAGTGACGTTCTTATCTTTAGTCACAAGCTAATTCTGCCTTATTTTGTTCAATCTTTCTATCTTTGATTCAAGCTTTTAAGTGCTCAGAGATCTCAAATTTCTTCCAGCTTACCTATCCATATCAACCATTGTTTTTTAAGAAATAGCTGATTTTAATCTAATGTGACTAATAGTTTAATTTGCTTGGGTTTTTGTAGAGTGCTGATCCCTCTTTTTAAAAAACGATTTGTTAAAACTAGAATTATGGTCATCATTATATATATTTGACTCGTCAAAATTCTTTCGCTTTTCCTTTACCTCTCCGAATGAATACTCATCTTAGTTTGGGAAAATATTGAAAGTTTAGTATTGTGCTTCAAGGAAGTTTTATCTTTAATGTAAAGGCTACTTAAAAGATTTTGAGTAGTTATTAGGTTAAATCACTTCAATTCGACTCCTCTATTTGAGAGTTTATCCTCTTTTCAATAGGTTAACATCAGGACTAGTTTGAGCAACAACGTCATAAGGATTGAAGGGCTCATAATCCTAGTCTTTACTCTCTATTATCTTAGAATCAATAGTGTTTTGTGAATTAGTTTTTTTGTTTAGTAAATTTTATTTCTTATATAAAGTTTCACTTTTTTTAATAACTGCTTTACTTGATTCATCTCCAATACTAGTGCGCCTTAAATGAAGAAGTGGCTTATTTTTATTCTAAACTTGCTAATCTTTACTTTTATTGTAACTTGCATTATTTTTTTTGTCCAGACTATTGAAGGAAAATTCACTTTGTTCAAAATCATTATAGTGACTTTGATTTTCCTGTTTTTGATACTTTTCCAATAAGTGATTAGTAAACTTTTTGAGTATTTGATCTTTGTTGAATACTGTTTATGACCTATTTATTCCAGATTTTTGCATTCTTGAAAAGGGATTCAAAGCTATTGCCATTTTTTATAGAAGAGAATTTTGAAAATTTTACCCTTATACGCTATTTGAGTCATTATTAGCATTTGAGTCTTTCTCGTTTTTATCTTGATTGATATTGTTTGAGGCATTACTTATCGCTGTAATAGAATTTTGCTTTAGCTAAAGTAGCATTTCCTATCTCTGTTTTCTTTTCAATATCATCTCCTCCTTAACAGATCCGCTCCTCATATGAACAGCTTTTGAATTTTTTATAATCTAAGAGTATTGTGGATTATATCGGTTAAATGGTACACCTTCTGTCAGTCTGAAATAAGAATCTCTCTTTGTCTACATTAAAAATGATAAAAATGGCAATTAAATATTACTTGGCTTGCATTATTCATATTTGTCTCACTAACACTCTTTCCTATTTCTTAGTCCCCGTTAATATCAAATGAAGTTGCTCTTTTCTTTTTGATTCTTTTGTTCTTATAGCAATCCTCAAGGTACTCTTTAATCTCATGCATAGACTTGAACTTTGAGGCGGTAGAATTTTCTAGAGTGTTCCTAGATTCCTTATCTTCTATTATCTTTTTAAACTTCTCACGCTGATCTGAGCGAAAGCATAAATGAAAAGCAATTGTCTGTGCTCCTTTCCTAGAATACATAGATGTACCTTTTCCTGAGGGGATACAATAATCAGTGTGAACAAGCATTATTTTTATTGCAAAATCAAATCAATCAAATATTATCAATATATATTTCAATCATTATTTCCCAAAAATGTCATTCCATTATTCTGATGGGGTTTTGGGGTTTTGGGGTTTTGGGG